AGCCGTTTATGCTAGAGAGTAATAAATGGCTATGCCGTTTGTGCTGGAGGTTAATGAATGGCAGAGCCATTTATGCTAGAAATTAGCCGTTTATGCTAGACAGCCTATAGTGATAGCAACTTTATAGCGATTTATTCGGAAAAAAGTGTGGGTCGGCCGTTTATGCTAGGAACGGAGCAATTTATTATTTTGTTAATAAATTGTAAGCCCTCTTGTAAGATCGTTCCTGAGGAATATATCAAGAGTAACCTCTGTATTTCGAATTAGTATAATTACATATTATATAAAAAATTAGATATGTAAGTAAGTGAAGAAGCATGATCCAGTCATCTTTCATGCACTAATGCTTCCGTTACTATAGACGAATAACGTTAAAATCGTATACATCAATGGCGTGTATACGTTCCTTTTGATTACACAGATTATCGTTGCCAACGGCTTGTCCGCGTAACTCGAGACTTCGCTGATCAAGTTTTTGAAAAAATTCTTTTAGAGCAGAACTGAAAGGAGAATATCACTAGATGCAGTTTTTGGCGCTGATTACGAATCTCACATTACTTTATTTTTAAAGTTAAAAGGGGACGATATTTAGCGACCGTAAAAATCTCAAATTGATATTTGACTTCGATGTACAAGCCGTCGATTATCTACGTTTGACTCCTGTAATTCTTTTATTAATTTGTATTTATTAACAAGTTTTGAATAAATTGGATGGATATTCCGATATTCCGATATTTCCGATATTCCGTACTAGCCACGACCATACATATACCATTCGATAGAGAAGTTTTCGCCCTACAATTGCATATATACAACGTGGTGAAAAAAGTGTCCTAGGGCACCTTGACACTAGAAATACTATCTCGAAAGGCGTGAAAGATCGGTGGCTTATTTCACGGTGACGAACCTGTGCTTCACACTTGTCCACTAACCACGACGATACATACACCATTCAATAGAGAATTTCACGAACTTCAAGATGAGCGATAAACAAGTCTTTCAGAAATATGCCCACATGAATCATTAGTTGAAATACTTGTCCGATATAATGATTTTGACCTATCTTAGTGCTTTCAACGCTTCATTAGTCGTTTTTCTGCCATAATGAAAATTATGTATTATTCCAAAACATACCACTGGATAGCCCTTGAAATTCTCTACAAAGTGAGCCGGTCATTCAAGTAGCCGGGAGTTCTTGTGATTATGACACACGGTACCGCTTAGATAATACCCAAAACTTTCTTTTCAATATCTTTAATGACAAGCCCCACCGGTCTGTATATTGTGACCGGCTCACTTTGTAGAGAATTTCAAGGGCTATCCAGTGGTATGTTTTGGAATAATACATAATTTTCATTATGGCAGAAAAACGACTAATGAAGCGTTGAAAGCACTAAGATAGGTCAAAATCATTATATCGGACAAGTATTTCAACTAATGATTCATGTGGGCATATTTCTGAAAGACTTGTTTATCGCTCATCTTGAAGTTCGTGAAATTCTCTATTGAATGGTGTATGTATCGTCGTGGTTAGTGGACAAGTGTGAAGCACAGGCTCGTCACCGTGAAATAAACTAACTCACCCACTTGCTAACGCTTTGCATAAAGCATTTCCAATGTCAAGGTGCCCTAAGACACTTTTCTCTGTAGTTTATATATATACAATTGTAGTGCGAGAAATTCTCTATCGAATGGTATATGTATCGTCGTGGATAGTGGTCAAGTGTGGAGCACAGGATCGTCACCATGAAATAAGCCACCCACTTTTCAAGGCTTTCCAGACAGTATTTCTAATGTCAGGGTGTCCTAGGACACTTTTCTCTCTAGTTTATATATATACAATTGTAGTGCGAGAAATTCTCTATCGAATGGTATATGTATGGTTGTGGATAGTGGTCAAGTGTGGAACACAGGATCGTCTTCGTTCAATAAATCACCCACTTGCTACCGCTTTGCATAAAGTATTTCTAATGTCAAGGTGCCGTAGGACACTTTTCTCTCTAGTTTATATATATACAATTGTAGCGCGAGAAATTCTCTATCGAATGGTATATGTATCGTCGTGGTTAGTCGTCAAGTGTGGAGCGCAGGATCGTCACCGTTGAAGAAAGAAGAGGAGAACTTTGGGTACAGTAAATTCGACCTAGTTTTTTCTTAGAGTAACTCCAAGGTCTGTCCAGTGGCTAGAAATGTTCTCCTGTTTATTCTGCATCTAATCATGTGTGTTTCGATGGAATTCGAGCTGGGGCCGATTTCATCAAATAATCGCCCCCGTCCTTTCTTTTGATAAAAAGTTTTTACATAGAGTATCATGTGTTCTATTGCATGAGTGCATTGAATGAATATTTCATTTATCGTAGAATTTTTTATAAAAATGCCCCCAAGACCTGTACGCTCAAAATCCAAGTTTTCCAGAATCCCATTATGAAAAAGTCAAAATTAAAGAAAATTGATATTACGATTGGATTTGGCATAGTGGATAATCTTTAGGCTCTGACTTTTAAGTTGATATGTTGAGTTTCGTATGCGCTAGAGTTGTCTTTTCCCGTATTGAAATTCCTCTCATTATTTGTTGTTTCTTGTTGTATCTGTCTTCTATGATATAAGTTTCTGTAATTAATATATTTATTTATATTTATTATTATTTACTTACAAACGTACAAAGAAAATAGAATTTTAATCTTCAATAGCTCATCTTTGTGTTTATGAGCTAATAATAACCTTAAGTAAATTTGACGGTCCACCTAGATTTTTTAACCAAAACTAAATTTGATATTGCTTCCCTTGTACAGTTGAAAATGTTTGACTAATATAATCAATATAGCGAACACTGCCATCGTAATAACTACATGTACCGGAATGTGCACAAGCTGCTGTTACTCTGCCCGCCGCTTGAGCGTTATTTGGATTACAAAATAAATCCGATGGAATTCCACCATTTTTTGATCTACCATTTTCAAATCCACTATTTACAATTGAATTAACACCATTCCACGTGACACTGATATCATCTAGACACCAAAAACTAGGATCTTGTTTAAGTGTGAATGCCAATGTTGCTTGACTTGTTGTTGCTGTATATGAATATTGATAAAATGTATAACCAAATGCCGTTGAATTTATTATTGATAGTAATGTTATCGGATTATTCCATGTTGTGGTACAAGTATTATTCGATAAATCTAAGCGCAGAGTAAAAAACACCTTAACCAATGTTTGTTGTTAATTTTGTATAAAGCATAGGGTGAACAATAAACATCAAAACTATACCTGTAGCAGTCGTAGTTGTAGTTTCAGTTGAAGTCGTAGTTGTAGTTTCAGTTGAAGTTGTAGTTGTAGTTTCTGTTGTAGTCACAATAAGAAAAATGCACTCGATTATGTAACAAAGCGCTCAAAAAGCTGGTTAGAAAACTCAATTTTTTGAAAAATCTTCAGTATTCCATTAATTGTTCTACATTCTACGAAACAGACAACGTAAATGTATAAGATCATAGGCAGAAGTGTAGATCTGTTGTGAGAAAATTCTACAGAATTGGTCGCCCAAAAAGTCAACAGACTAATTTTACTATCCCGTTATAGCGGCATCCACGTATTAGAAAATAATAATACTAAAGGGGTGGACACATTACGAATTGAAGGCCCCCCCTAAAAAAGAAATGCGGTCAAATACAGCGGTTTTGAACTGCGTGTTTTATTGCTGAGGGTACCGAAAAATATGACTTTTTTTAAGGGACACAATAGAAGACCCTCCTAAAATTTGTGATCGATAGGACAGAATAGAAGACCCCTGTCTTCTAATGTGTCCAACCCTTTAGTTCACTTTCTTCTGACTTTGATTTTCTGATGGGTGTAGTAAGATTTTATTATTTATGTCTTGCAACGGGTTTATCAACAAAAGATAATGATCACATCAGGATATTTTCCAAACAAGAACTTTTCTTCTGTGAAACAAAAACATTCTCTCGCCGCCTATCGCTCTCCTTCTGATACTCAAATGACTTACGAAAAATAGTTTCATTAACTTTTTTTTCTGCATTTGTTATTGCTTCTTTGATTAAATTTGAACTTAATGCAGTTAGATTTTGAAATTGTTCGGTACTTGGATTAGCTTCAGATAAACTATTCGCCATTAATGAAAAGATTGCACTTGCAGCATACTATAAATAATAAGTATATAAGAACTTATTCAACATCTAAGAATAGAAAACACACTTTTGGTTCACCAGTATATCTTAAATCAAATTCGCAAGCTATTTGAATATTATTTGATATTTTATCTGAACTAGCTGATAAACCAAGTTTTACTATTCCATCGCTAGCGCTCTGTCGATATTGATTACATATTTTTTGTGCTGTTTCTTGTACCATGGCTTGAGATAAGTTTGAAAAAAGATCTATATTATTAACACGTTTCCGTCGGTATTGACCATTTACTGATTGCTTATAACATTAATTTCTACGTTAGGATAAATTTGAGCAGTAAATTCGGCATATGGACAATTAATAAATACAAAACTATTTATTGTTTGAATGCGAATTCCTAAAAGGAATAAAACACAATTCATTTTTAAATTCAAACAAAAATTCATTTGGGATGGGTTTATTGCCGCTTACAGAAGGGCCATTAAGAAGTTATTGCCACTCCCGGCCGTGATAGCAAGCAGCTATTGCCACTTCCAATAGAAAGTGTCAACACAGAACTATTTCCAGCTGAAATGTGTCAATAGCTCTCTGCTGATACTTCTTGTAAGTGACAATAGCTGCTTGCTGCCATGTCTGGAATTGACATCAGCTCCTTAGTAACACTTCCGAACGTGGCAATAGCATCTTATAGGCATTCCGTTGAATTTAATAGAATCCACTGCACAAGATAAACAAGAAAAATTCCATTATGGCTTTTCATGCAGTAGGACTGCACATCTTCGTTTTCCATCGACAATGTTTATCTCGATCGAAACATAAAAATACGGATTGAAATATTACCCATCGCAGCGCATGCAAGATTTCCTCTCATAGATTGCCTTAAATAATGTTTAATAAAGAATAAATTACTTTCATCAGCACAAACTGTTTGGGTGTTATTTACTGTACATAATACATCTGTTTCGGTCATATATCCTATGGCACTGAGAATTCAAACGAACTTATCCATTTCCTATAACAAGTGAAACACAGCTTGAAAAAGCTTTCTCATCTCCAAACCGATTGCCGTACTCTACATACAACATTTTTCAGTGAATTAACGCAGATATTATCCCGACTGAGACGTCTTACATTGTCACCAAGTATTAACACCAATGATGATTATAGATCATGCATAGAAATACTGTGAAAATTTATGTTATTTGAGTTGGAGTTACTATCAAGGTGACAATGAAGAAGAAGACGAAGTATTCGAACAATTATCCGACGAAGTAGATCAATGCAAGACTGTATTTTTTTATGCGCAAAGAGATGGTAGCAGAAGAGACGGGTCTGAACGTCAATATACTGCAAACGTTTCGTTATGAAACAGGCAGAACTGTAATTTTTATGATGGAGTCTTAGAGGCCAAGACGATCCTAGGCCCTTAGGCCAATATTTTGCGGTATATAATGCAAGTTTGCTGGAGAATTGTGCCCTTTCAAGAAAAGAACGAGATTTTTGTTTGTAAATACTTGAGCTACTCGGCCAAAAAAGAACTTTGATCGTATTCTTCTTCAGGAACTCAATTATCGCTAACTATATTCAATAATCAGATAAGTAAAACACCTATCGCACTTTTTCGTCTGCCTCACATGCATTCAATCTAGTTTCGCATAGTCAAATTTTGTTATGTTTCCAATAAAATGTGATCTACTGCATTCAAGATTGAAACTTTCTGTCGGACTCGAATTCGATTATAAAACACGTAGTCAGTTAACGTCTGATGAAATGAGGCGTATTACGAGTTTTCTTCGGCTTCCACAACTATTCATAAGATAGCAGACATTTTCAGCTTTCATTTCAGCATACATTTCAGACGTTTTGACAGCCTAGGGTTGCAGCCGTTCAGGTTGGTGTGGCAAAAATTTGAACGAAACGGGAACGTTTTTTGTCGTTGACGTTCTCAACTGTCAACTATATCTCGCCAGCTGAAGTACTCAACTGTCAACGTGAAAAACTATGTCGTAACTATGTCGTTAGTTCAGTATAAGTATGATGACTTGTAGACCGAAAAACATTGAAAAATATCATGCGAAAGAAAATTGACGAAAAGAGGTAGGAAACGAGCAGATTTCCCAGAACATTTTGATTGATGAGAGATCTTCATTCAAGTCAAGGCTTTACGGGAAAAAGATAAAGGCTTCACTCATTTAAGAATCTTAGACCAGTGGATTTCAACGTTGACAGTTGAGAACGTCAACTGATACATTACCGTTGACAGTTGAGAAGGAAAGCCACTACAGCTACACCCCTACGCCAGCCCAGCGAGAAAAACCGTCAAGTGAAATTTTTTAACATATATATTTTTTAATATTTTCAGATTCTGCATTCAAAACTGTAGTCATGGAAAACGTTTTAGCTGTTTGACCTATTTTGACCGAATTATGGAATTTCCAAAAAGAAGACCATCGAAGAATTTCGAAAGTGACCGTCGCAATATTTTGGCTACAAGCTCGCTAAATTTTATCCGTAGCTTTCGAGCAATGTCTCATTCGAAAGTTGCATAAACTGAAGTACTTTGCAAGGTTTTAGAGTCAGACATGAGCTTTTGGGAAATTTTGCAAGTCAAAATTTTTATTTTTCAAGAAGTGAATTTTTCAGATAATCCGATGTTTGTTCAGACTATTTGAAATTTACACAAAATAACGAGCATCACATCTTTAAAAAAGTTCAGTTTCCTACAAAATGAACCTTAAAACTTTATTGTAAGACCGCAATGTGACAAAAAATTGAAAACAAAATGGCCCACCAGAGTTACTTTTCGAACTTTTATCAATTTTTTCTTGCATTTTCTCAGCCTGAATGTAATTTTAAAGCAGAAATAAGGTAACATTCAGAACCAGCGCATTGAAAACAGGCAAAAAGCTGCAGCTTTTCAAATCACAATGCTAGATGCAGTTTTTGATGCTGATTTCGAATATCACCTTATTTTTCATTTTAAATTAGATTTGGGCTGTAAAAAGTTGAAAAACTGAAAAAAGTTGAAAAACTAGCGTCAATCTGCCGTACTGTTTACTAACACACGTTCTGAAAAACAACTAATGTTACAGCCATGTTAAAACTGCACAAGGATGAAAAAAAATGCATGTATATTAATGTCTATTAATGTACACATGATTGTGGAGAAAGAGTTAATAAATCATGTTAGAAACTGATGGAACTGACCTATGACAAGAAATTGAAGTCCTACATTCTAATACTGAGTGATCACTGTTATGCTATTATCGGTTTCTTAAAAGAAAGTAATCGATTCATATAAGATCTTTCTTTATGCTTGCAGTTTTGCGTATATGTGTGAGCTTGATTTAATTTCATTTTGTGTATCATTTCTTTTTTTACATTACTAGTAAAAACTATAATGAGTAATCGACTCTTTTCACTTTCGATAAAGATAGATTAGATCAGTAAAAGTTAGCAGGTTCGGTACACCTAACATCTGCCAAAACGTTTTGCAAGATCGACTGTTTTCGGAGATGAATTTCCAAGAAAAAATTTGTTTGTCTTTCTATTTTTATCCCCTAAACATGCAGTAGGCTAAGAAATAGATTTTCTTCTTTGTTCTGTATTGCATACAATAGTTAACATTAGCTGAAAAGAAAAATACGACTCTCAAAGAAGAAATCCGATCCTACGGTAAGATTCGAACGCGTACTTCCTCGGTCGGATAAAATCCGCAATTTTTTTATATGTATCATTTGTTCGGTAAGAATAAGGAGGCGGTGGCTTAACATAATGTCCTGGCATTTGTTGTAAACGATTCCTACTTTGGTGGCGTTTGCAAACTGCAACACAAATAATTATAATTATAAGACAAACTATAGCACCGCATACAATTCCGACAATTGCCCATGTCGTTAAATGATATGTACGACCATAACATATTCCATTCCCGTAACAGGACGAATCAGCTGAAACAAAAGACTAAAAGTTTCATAAGCGTTGATAACTCTATTACCAGAACTTACGAAGCTACTCACATGGCCAACCGTATGGATAAAATGAATATCTTTCACAACATTTGCCTAAAAGAACAGACTATAAATGATCCATTACCATAATAAGCGCCTTCAAATTAATATACCTGGTTTTCCGTAGTAGGCTGATGAACAGCTTCCACCTAGGCAACACGTATTACACCTATAGTCCTGTGCAGATACCCTTCCTAGTGTGCATGATAATAATATGGCTAATTCTAAGATGAACGAAGAAGTCATTTTAAACTTTCTATCAATTTCTTTTCCTTTAGCGCAATATACAAAACAGTATGTTTGACCGTTAAATATTTCTTCTCTTGTCCTTCGACGTATTTTTGTCTACAATGAAAACAATGTATGAAATAAGCTGGAATTAGTAATAAAATATACTGTGATATCAAAAAGACAACAG